ATGAATCAAATGGATTGTTCTCCTCTACCACTAATACTATCCACGCATGTTTTCTTGAGCTTTCCTAGAAGCAAGAAGAGTGGGGATTTGGCTATTTCAATGACAGGACTATTATATCAAACCCATAACTCATTTTTTGATGCAAAATAGTTTGTTATATGGAAGCAAACACTTCTGATAATTTGACTTTGTCAACAACACTTATTACTAACATTTATTCTTAATTCTATTAATGTTAGTAAAGGAATGGAGATAAGTATCTGGGAGCCAAGAATGCATGCATGTATAATACTAGATCAGAAAAGTTCATTCTAAACAAAGCCAAGAGAACTATTGAGAAATAGTGAACATTGCAAGGTGTTTTTTCCATACAACCAAGCTTTCCTTGTAAGATAAGAAATTTGTCTTTCAAATTTCAGTATATGCCTTTTCCAGTAATTGGTTATTTTGAAGAATCAATTTTGTTGTACAAATCAGTGACAGGGTAAAATGAGGGAGTCAACGGGACATCATCCGGAGCCCTATCAAACTGGAGGTGCCTAATCAACTAAGTAGGCATATACCTATCTAGCGGACCTCTACCTATTCAGAAGGCCATTTTGATAACATTCATTAATATCAGACCCAGATAGCCTTGCACTGGTATTGGAACTAGCTTTAATATGCCATTATAAGTGAATTAGAAAATTACAAATATTCTAAGATTCCCAGTCTTCTGAGAACTTTTAAAACCATTTTAATTCATTAAAATCAGTTATATTATTCTTATTGAAATGTGGATTGAAGTTGTTGAAGCTCCAAGTATCGTCATTAATACTGCAATTTGTTCAATTAATGAAAAAGAAAATCATTAAATTATAGATACATATATAAAAACTGCCAAACAGTAGTGCCCTTACATTAGATAGTGAATTTAATTACAAAAATCAAACTTGGTATGTCATGAGACAATATCTGAAATACACTCATTGATAAATGAACAACTGCAGTGTCAAAGATGAAACCAGCTTTGGAATAGTTACGTGTGGATTCTTTGCGGTAACTTGAGTGGCAAAGAAAAGAAATAGAACATGATGTCATGTTTTAAAATATATTGTTTCTGTATCTTAAATGCCTTAAATGAAAATTCTGATAACTTGCTCTGAACTGGCATAAAAGTTATGTTTTCTGTTATTTTAAAGGCTCTGTACAGAAACCTTGTAGAAAACTGAATGTTAGCATCATTCAATTACTATTACTCTAATAGTTATTATTCTGTTTGCAGTCACAAAGTGACAATTTAATTTTTGTTTCAAATGTATTACATGTGAAAATAAATACCTTCTTTGTGTTTGCAAAGTGAATAAGATATTTAAAAAAAAATTGTGAAATTTCTATTTATTTGTTTAGAATTGCGATTAGAATAAACTTTATTTAATGTTTATTTCATATTCAATTTTATTGATGCAGAGGAGTTAATAAAGAGTAATTGTAATTAATGTATAGATATTATAAATACATAGAAATTATAGCTGTTTATATGTGAACATACAAATTATTTGATATAAAAGTGTTGTAGATTAGAAACATAATTTTGAGTCTGTAGATGAATATTTGTGTAAAGTTGATTGAGGGCACAGAATTTGTTATATATGCCATGAGGCTCTGTTTTATAGGTTTTAATTATGTTGAAATCAGATAACATTATTGGTTTATTTAATTTCAGGGACGACTAATCGCTTTACCGTCAATGCGTTGCAAGCGTGTAGACATTTTTGTACGCACAAATCCATGTAGCAAGCCACCATGAGAGTATCTTAATGCAAGAGTACACATTAAGATCTAGATATGTCAAGAATTCTGGCTGTGAACTGTTCCCTAGAAATGAGTAATTGTGTAGTTTTTGTAAAATTGATGGAATTTGAATGATTAAAACAAGATTTCTGCAGATTTTTAATTTACAGCTGTCTTCAAAACAGAAAACATTGTTTTACAAAAACATTTTTAATTTTTTAAATGTACACCATAAATCTGAATGATACAAAATGCAGCTTAATGTGAAATTACATGGAACATCTGAAATTGTTAATATTTTATTATCAATGAACTTATGTCCTATTTATTGTCCAAAAATGTCTTCTTACCAATAAATATTTAACAAATGTGAAACTCAGCAACATCATAACGTTGGTGAATTTTTTTTACCTTTTTCATGAAAATAACATGTGAACCTCTCATTGTAAATATGACGATAAATTCTTTTGAATGTTGGAAAAAATGACAAAGGTATTTGTAATTTTTATTGTTATTCATTGTGCACATTGCCCAGTGTATTCTAATATTACACTGAAAGTTAAAACAATTTACTACACACTAAAAAGCCAATGAAATAAGTTTTGCAATGCATCTGCAAAGCATAAATTGTTTGGATAAATCCATGTAGCAAGCGACTATGAGAGTTTCTTAATAGATGAGCAGCTCTCCATGATATTTTAATGGGAGTTCTTAGTTCACATGTTTCTTCCTGGCAGTGTTTGAAATTGTAGTCTCTTTTTCTGGAAGAGCTACCCATCAAACAGATCCCAAGTGAGATCTGGCACTTTAACACTGTGCACACCCAGAGAAAAAGAGTATGGCATGTTGCCTTACTGGACAGCCTCTTCTGGCACTTCTCTTTGGGGCCAAAAATCACCAAGGGAACATAAATAATGTAACTTACAAACTAACCAACACTTTGGATCATGAAACACATTGGGGTTCGTGTTGAGCATGCAGCAAATGTCTTTGGACTACACTAAAAGCAACCATTTCTTAGATTTCTTGATCATTTCCATTCCTTGTGGATTCAAAGAATTATAAAATTGAGCATGATTCATGTAAGTTATTTTAAAATAATGTCTAAAACAATAATTTTTATGACAGAAATAAAAGGTTATAATTTAGAGGTAATGAAAATAAAGAGAAATTTAATCCTTCATTTCAGAAAGTGAATGGTTGCAATCAGTTTAACACCCTTTATTGAGAAATCAAAGGGAACTGAGACTGTTGCTGGAAACTCAACTGCAAGTAACCTATAATAAAAAGCAAATAATTAGGAAGAAGTTTTATAAAATAACAGAGAAGTATTGCAGTCTTCAATGAAACTAAATATTGGACTTTGTACGTTTGGAATGTATGCTATTGGATGTGTGTATATGGAGATTGAATATGTAAGTTGAATCCTGTTATTGGTTTCAGCTATGAATGAGTTGAGGTATGAGTTTTGTGGTACTTGTTCCACCTGTTGCCATCCGGTTAAAAAAAAATATATCGGTGGGTGAGCTCTCTAAAAAAGGATAAGCCAGAATTCGTACGATGAAAAAGAATCAGATACTGGAAGGTTTCCCAGGAAAACAGTATTCTTATTTTCTGACTTTCAATTTTTTTTCACTTTAAATATCTTATTGTAATATATAAGTAACCAAAACAAAATTCAATGGGGATTTTATAATCTGAATCTTCCAGAATCTGAGCACGAATTCTGCAAAAGCACTCTCATGTTAGAGATTCAAATTCATACAACTTGCATTCAACACTCAACAGTCACACTTAAATAAAACATTAATCCAAGTCCCTTTGTCCTAAATTTACACTTCAAGCACTCATTGATTCTCACTTCTAACTTTTACCCATTTCCCAAACTGTTCACCTGTCATAGTCAATAATCGTCATAAACACTGTTACTTGGGAAAGAGCCACAATTTTTAAGCAAAACTTCATTGGCTAGATTCAAGTTATTTTGATGTGAAACAATTGGCTCTATACGTTTGATTTAAAGATCATCTTGGCGATATTAGTGAATATTTATTCAGTTTTCTGGGGGAGTTCTGCGAAGATTTTTCAAATTTAATAATTTTTGTAAAAAAGCATGCATGTATTTCGAAGACAATTCTTCTGAGCTGTTTTCATTGTGGTCTCAAGTAGAAAATGATAATTACGAAGTGACAGATATCGAAGCAACTTAAAACATTCTCTTCACACTTGAACGCCGAACCTCCTTCAAAAGGTTAAAGCAGCTCAAACGCTGTGATGAGTGAAGGCGGTCGCCCTGGGCGACGCGGCGGTGGAGAGTGAATACGCTTTGGGGCAGACAACAGGCGTCGTCAGCAGTCGAGAGCGCGGCATTGCACTCCCACTTCGGTGCACATGCACTCCAGGCACGGCCCCGACAGCTCGGATATGATGCGCCCCACGCGGTACATGCGCCCGTAGATGTTGCAGCCCGCCAGCTTGAGCAGGCCGGACGCCGCGCCGGGGTCCGCGGGCAGCTCCCCGAGGGCGTTTGCCGCCCACCCCGCCCGCGTCCGCCACCGATCCCCCGCCCGCCACCCCGCCTCCTTCGCTTCCGCACCGCTCTCGCTCTGCGTGCGCTCGGTTCCTAGGTGACGATTACCGTGCCTACGTCTAACGAAATGTTGAAGATTTGAGCAGCTGCTGTAGTTGTTCAGTGCCGCAGGGCGTCCGACGAGACGTTGCCGAACGAATCGTTTGGTTCAGTGTCCGGTTTGTGAGTGCGTTCTGGATGGTAGCGCGGTCGTAGGCGCAGGAGCAGTGTCGGGCGCTCGTGTGGTTGTAGGGCGTAGTGGTAGTTTTTGTCGCGCTTTCTTAGTGGTGGAGTCCCCTGAAATAGGAATTGCAGCACGCTGTCCAACGAGACTCCGTCGTCTTCGTCGCGGTCGAAGTCGTTCTTGGACGCGGCGACATCCGGCGGTCGCGACGTCGTGGCTCGGGCAGCAACCGTCGTGGTGCGGGAGTCGTGGCGGCGAGGACGGTGGAGGTAAAGGACAGCGCCTCGGAGGTCTTGGATGTGCCTTGCGTGGGGGAGCGGCGCTGGTGGCGGCGGTGGCGCGGGAGGTAGGCGGCTCTCCGGGGCGGGGTGGGCGCGCTGCGGCGCGTCGCGTTGGCGTGGGCGTGGTGGAGGCGGCGGCAGTGGTGAGCGAGGGCGGGGCCGGGGTGGCGGGCGAGGCTGGCGGCGTGACGGGCGTCGTGGAGGCCGTGCGGCGCTGTTCCAGAAGGTAAGGCATGATGTCGCCGATGAGCGCGGGCAGGTCGGGCGCCTCCTCGGTGCGGATGACGTCGCGGAAGGGGTCGGGCGTGACTACGCCGTCGGCCACAGTGATGGGCGGCACCACAGGCCCCAGCAGCGGTGAGCCCGTCGCCCCCACGCCCACGCCGACGCCCGCGCTCACTCCGTCCAGCACCACCGTCGGCGACTCTCCACCGTCACCTGCAACATTGCGCGGATCAAAACGGCATTATGCGGATCAACATTCTCACTGATACACCTGTTTGTAAGCATATTATAATGCTATTTACAATTCCTTTTGCGACAATGCGTTTTTATTTCATTTGCAAGAAGGTAAAATGTTTTGTTTTGTTTTTCAATAAATCAGCCCTTGATAGTTCCGGCTAGTCGCACACAAAATATTATACAAAACGTCTTGGAATTCTTCTGTAGAGGCAACACAAAACGAGTAAGGTATATTATGTTTCTACTACCTTTTCTATAAATAAACTCTAAATCACTGTATTTGAATGAAGTGGGTGATAGAGATGAGTGTGGAAGTGAGAACGCAGGTAAGAGCGGGACGGTGATGAGGGTGGGGACGGTGGGGAGAATGCGGAGATAGAGACAAGAGCTGTGCCAAGGACGGGGGGAGTTTGAGGTCGAGAACGGGAACGGGGTGGGGGGAGGTGCGGATCGGATGTTAAGGTGGTGGCGTGGATCATTAATATACCAGGCAGTAACTTGTGAATGCCGATAGAAAATAATAAGTACAAAACAATTTCAATGTCTTAGCCACTATATGAAATAATTAAAAGCGAAAAATTGCAATAATAATTAATGTCGGCTTTAAAGATTTAACTTACCACAAACAATGCGTCCACAGCAGGATCGACGATCCTTGTGTCTGAGCCTCCTACATCCAGGTTTCAAAGTAGGGCACTTGGTGGCTTGGCACAAAACTTCTCCATAATAGCAAATACATCGTAAACATGGATCTGTTTGTGCTAAGAGTTCCCCATGTCTATATTCCCGACCACTTGATAAACAACGCTCTGTGAAGAAGGACGTTATTGATAAATTATTATAATAGTCAACACCACTGCATTCAATACATTTTTCTTCGAGCCTCCTAATCAATATACTTTCTCATATTGAGAGGAACCGATAAAATTTAAATTATTTATACACTATTTCTGTTAATTAAAATTAATAAATTCTAAAAAAGTGCACGTATTCTCTTTTGTTTGGGAATTGGTATAGGTTAATTTTCAAAATAAAGAAATATTGATAGTTGCTTTGTCTTACTTTCACAAAAATGAATCTATCACTGCAGGATTATAGAGATTTTTGTATGCACTCTGTATCGCAAGGGCTGCATCTGTATCACGTTACTTTGAGTGAATCATTAGAGAAATTGCTTTTAATGTCATCCAAAGATGGTTGAAAGAGACGTGGTCAAAAAAGAACTTGAAATGTTCATTTCGTAAACGAGCAATATCACTACCAGATTCCTGCAATTTTAATTTCAAGAATGTGTAGTGTGTCATATATTTGCAAAATCATCTATATCAATTAGAATAGGTTTAAAAATGACGTAATTTTTATTTTATTTCTTAAATGAAGTAAAAGTCGACATGAAAGGTTGAAGTAGCGCATTACTGTTTTGATTGGAAATTTTAAAGAACAATTTTCAACTTGATCACTGACATTTGCGGGCGCTAGGGTGTATCTACATTTATTGGGACTTGGGACTCATAACCCTACATTATTACATAGAAATGGTAAAGTCCAATCACTCCACCCTTAAATTTCAACGTGTAGGCTTAAAAAAGAACTATACAAATTGTATGCGATGTTTATATGGGAGGTAAAAACTATATTTACTGGAACTAATATAGCAACCAGAATATGTTATTCTGGAAAATAGCTATTCGTATTTTACAGAACTCATCTCCTGTACCTTCTCGTCAATGTTGTCGGCTTTTTCTCGAATTCATTGATATGTTTCAAATACTATTTTATCGATTCGAAAAAGGCAACTAGCGACATGCGCGGCGACCTATGTAAGCTTCATATTTCGCGGGCTTTGTAAAATGGACGGATGAGTGGTAAAGAGTTTCTATTTTATGACAATGTGTCAAAGTAAAGTTTTCATTAGTTAAAGTTTTCGTGCGGAATGTACGTGCGTCTTCAGTGAAGAAAACATTTTTTATCTAATTCATCAATTTCGAGACTCGTATTAGGTAAGTGACAATTTGAAAGTGCTTCGAAACACCATGCCATGTATTCCACGTGTTTTGTCAGCAGGATGGCGAGGGATTTATAATCAAAATAGTTGCATCCTGCAAACATAATATTTTGAAAGGAGAAAGAAAACTAAAATTAAATAATTGAGGTTATGTGCTAAGTTACCATCTTCACTTTTGGGCGGCATGGTTATGGCAGGTGGTAAAATTGTTCCAGATGTAATATCCATTGGCAAATGACCTGAAGGAATATTTATTCCTGTTGTGTGATATGGCACATCATACTTTGATTCGTAAAATGGCCCATCTAATATTGGTTCACGTGGAATAAATCCTCCTGAAATCGAAAATAACATTTTATCCCTTTGATATTTGGCAAGCAATAATAGGAAGAATAATTGTAAAAAATAATAAACATTAAACAGAAAAACAAAAAAATTCTTTAATAAATGCTATTCCTATTAAGAATCAAATGTGATTCACAAAAAATATCATTTAATTTTTAATATTGATAAATCTTTACTATACATAATTGAATAATTAGGATTTTCTTTAAACTCCATTGTGTAGTTTTTATTTTTTCTCTCTCTTGAACACAAATTGAAATATTTTTATTGAGTTTATGCATGCACAATAAGAGAACAGTAAAACAAATCGTGATCTTTTCACCCGTAGCTTACCTTCTGTTTCTACTGGTGGAGAAAATAAGTTTGGATGGGAAACTTTGTAAAAAACTGGATTGTCAGTTGGCCTGTGCTTATCTTTTGGATAGACTGTTGGAGAATTTTTGTCTTCCACAACTGCATCAGCTGCCACAAATGGAATAATTCTGGAAACAGTTGCACGATAAAGGCCTACATTATATTAATGAAAATAGGTTTCCATTACTAATATACCTTGACATTCCCCCAGATGTCAATTATGCAATTTGTATTGTTTAATGCCGTTTACTTTCTTTAATATTCAGGAACACCCAGAGGAAACAAGAGGCCTGGGGCAGTAGATCCATGGGGTCCTCTTTTTTTTTTAAAAAAAGGTCCTCTCCCTCCTTACACATAAACAATTTCATTTCTTCATGCAACAGAAAATATAGCAGTTAGTTTCAATAGAAGTTTTTTTAAATTTATTTTGATTGAAAAATTATTTCAGGATCTCAATTGAGTCGAGAGCTGGAGCAAGTTGCCTCAGCTGTCCACTCTCCTTCTGGGCATTCCTGTTATTATTTGAAAGAGTGAAATGATCTGCAATTACATTGATTAAATTGTGTTATTTCAAAAATTATTAATAAAAAAAATTTGTAACAAATAAAAGAACAATGCATACCTGACTCCAGGAAGGGATGGAGGCAAAGATGGCTCATTGTAGTCATATTCATAGTCTTCATCTTTCTTTTGTGTAATGTTAAGAATAGCTTCAATTTCAGGTGGGATAGCTCTCACAGGAAGAAGTGATCCATTAACTGTTGTGCTGGAGTTGTCACTTTCTACTATACTAACATTTTTGTGGAGGGTAATATTAACAACATCTAGTTCTTCAGGCATAATAACTGTTGTAGGTATAAGTGTCATAAATGTAGAGTCGGTTTGTACTGTTATTGGGCCATTGCTGTGTTCTGTTGTAATTTCAGTTCTTTCAATATCCAAGTCACTTTCGGGATCCAAAGTGATTACATCATCAGGAAATGCTGAAGTTACTTGATCTGAAGAATCAGTTGGAACAATTCTTTCTTGAATTTGTGTGTCATTTCCTTGAGTTTCATTACCTGAAATACCACCAGGGGTTACATTTTTAGTAGTGTCATTTATTAATATTTTTTCCAAATTTAGTTCATTATCTACAGTTCCATTTGTTGTTGTAATTGGTAGTGTTGTTGTTATTGCTGCTGCTGTAGTTGTTACTTCAGTCACAGTGGTGGCATCAATTTCTGTTGTTTCATTTCCATAAAACTCCTCTGTAAAACTTGTAGTTGGAAGTGTTGAAGTTATTGTGGTAGATTCATTTGAAATCAGCGTTGTTGTTGGTGGTGTGGTTTCTGTTGTTATATCTGTAGTTGTTTCGTCGTTATCAGTCAAAGTTGTTGTAATGATTGTACTTTCTTCATGCTTTATTGTGATATTGCATGACAATATCTTATGTCCTTCGTGGTCAGAAGCATTAGTATTGGTTGTCATTTCTCTGTTGCTGCGGCCTTCAATTACCAGTGTTGACTTGCTTTCAGCCCCTTCTACAGGAAATATTGCATTGCTAGCACCGTTTTTGACTTTCTGGTTATTCTCAAGAATTATTCTTTCATGTTCCTGTATGTTCTGGAAAATTCAGTACACGTTTGAAGTGGTTCATCATAACTAATTGTTATTATGCAATAATTAATGTATGTTCAAAACCTGTGAAAAATTAAATTTGAATATTTTGTTTAATCTTACCTGCTGTATATTAGTATTTCTTGTATCTTCACTGAAGAGGGCTGTTGTATTTGTCACGTTTGTTGTAATACCTGTAGACATACTTCTTGTGATGCTTAATGCTCATGGTATTTATTCATGATTTACAATATCACTACAAAATTAATATGATTTTGTACATCAGCATGGAACATTGTTTACTAGTTTAATAGAAATAAAGATGAAATGCTTAATGAATCATATTAAATTCAATCAAATTTTTAATTCAGTTATACTTTCGAGAAAATATGTAAATTATAATTAGAAGATTATGAAATTAATAACTTTGTCATTTGTACATTTGATGAACATGATTTGTTCTTACTTAGGAAAACTTACTGCAATTGTAACTTGATGGACAACAGTTGCCTCGCGTTACAATTGGCTCACAACCTTGCAATGGTGGAGTACAAGCCATTGGTGTGCACTGTATTTTTCCTTTTATGCAGAAACAATTCTCACATTGCTTATTGCTCAGTTCATGGAGCATATCTCCATCCATGAACAGTTTCTTTTCATATTCACAACCTTAAAAAGTAATAATAAGACTGGTGAACATGTTGCCGTGGACATTCACACTTTCAATGAATTTGAAATTGAACATCATGAACAAGAGGTTTTGAACACTGAAAAGTTATGTTAGACATAAATGTCAAATGTTATGTGACACTGATATACATATGATTTTTGATTAGTAATGAATTGTAAACTGTTTACCTGATACAGTTAAGCAATTAAAAGGAGTCATGAATGATATATTTTGTAGACAAATACATAATGTGAACTCTGTTAACAGAAAATATATTAGTAGATGTACTTATACTTGCCTTGTAATTGCCCTAAGGAATTTTCAGTTGTGGTTGCAGTGCTGTTTTGTTCACCTGCCAACAGTAATCAAAATTTTATTTGTAAGGAAGGGATGAATATTCATTTAAAGATATATGTAATAAAGAGAAAGGATGAATCCAAAAATATATTTGTAAAATTTGATGTTCTCTTTAACAGTGATTTATCCTAATCTTTAACAGTAATCAATTCTGATTGTTTTCAAAAAATGTATATGCTTTGGGTTACAGAAGAAATGATTATTTTCATTGAAGTGTTCATTGGAGTGTGTAAAGGTGGACCCAGGGGGCATGGCTCCTCTGAAAAAGTTAAAAGGGGCCCCAAGTTTTGTATATTAAGATATTTTATTTTAGTAAATATGATCAATTTCTCAATTTTTTATGATCAATTTCAGATTTTAGTCATTTTAAGTTCACAGTTTGGTAATTGATTTGGGGAATTTGAGGAAGAGGCTCTCCAAAACCAACTCGCAACCCTGGAAGATCTTCAACATATAATCAATTGCACATTATTTTATTTATTTCATATCAATGTATCATGTGTAAATAAAAAATTTAATGGAAAAGGGGGGCTAGAAATGTAGTTGCGCCCCTCCCCCTATCTTGTTTAGGCTGATCACACACCTTACAATTAAAGTTTTTAACTTGAAAAGTGATTAAATTTTTTTAAAGAAAATTTTGCAATTTTCTAGGCTTTTTGTGGCAATTTGTTTCAAAAATAAATTATATGAAACATTATGAGGAATGAAGTGGCTTAGAATTAAAAACAGTTTCCACATTAATGAAATGTGGAAACAATGGTGTAAGATATTAAGAAATAAGTGAATGATTTAATGTTATTAGTTATATTTTATTTGTTATGTAATACATTTTATGTGGTTGTTATTAGCACAAATACCTAATGACCTGTATAAAATGTTATAGTACATAATAGTACAGTCTCATAAATGCTGAATTGCTTTTGTTTATAAAGTATAACTAAAGCTAATGTTGAGCAATTTCACTCAAGGAAAGAGATATTATTAACAACTAATATATTTTCAAACTATAACTAAAATGTATAAGCATTTAGAACTGACATTAAAACAAAATGAAAATTATAATAATTCATTTACTTATTTGATTATATTATAAAGACGTAGGAAATCCATAGAGATTCTCAGAAATTTTTTGATTTAATTGGTGTACTGTAGGTAGGAGTGCTTGTGAATATTCTCCTAGTTTTGTTTTGTTTACTTCCGACATATTTTAGGGCAATATGCTGATTGTTGGGGTTCACCTCATTTCTGAAATATTTTGACTTCTCTGAAGGATAAGCTTCTTGAAGACTATTTTGATTTTGCAGATACCACTTTCCTCCAATCCATATTTTTGTCAAATTGTGCTTTGAATCAAAAGAGCAGTTTTTTGATTGTGATGATTTGGTACATTTGTCATCTTGGTCTTTTGAAGAAGTAACTGATTTTCTCATGTACAAATTCTTATCTTCACTAAACTGAGTGATAATAGTGGATAAACTACTATTACTTTTGTGAAATGCTGTCAATGATGCAATAATTTCATGATCTTTACTGTACAGATTGGTATTGTTGCTTACTTGTAAACTGTCTGTATTTCTTCTGATGTGGTCACAATTAGATCCCGATGTTTGGCATTGCATGTTTTTTTTATTTCTAAAGGGAGTCTCTCCCATTCCTTTTATTTTTGAATAAAATACTTGTTTAAGAGTGTTTTCATTGAAGTACCACTTGCCACCAATCCAGACTTTTTCCTTGTTGAGTGCTGGAATGAAATTAACATTTTGGTAAAGTGGACAAGTTGTTGAATTGAATACAGAACCTCCTTTATTCTTGGAGGATACCCTATGGGTTTCATGTGAATCTACAAAAGTGTAAGATATGATGGGAGAATGAGAAATTAGGCATTCATTGGATGTTTTTGAATCTCGTAGCTTTGTGTGTTTTTTAACAAACTTATGGTTTGAATCATCAGATGGGTGTGAGATTTTTTTATGTGCTTTTATAATATTTGCACCCTTTTCTTCATTACTTTTTAAAGACTCATTTTCAATTTCTGTAAATTTTAAAGAGAATGCTTCTCTAAGGTTAGCTTTCTCATGCACGTACCACTTGCCCCCAATCCAGATTTTTGTTTTGTTTACTTCATGAAGATTTTTTTGTGGCTGTAGTTGCGAGAAAGGTGATAATGTGGAAATAGACATAGTTGATACTGATCGGGGCAAATTGTTAGCATGATGTGATACTTGTTTTCTGGTCACTGGATGAAACAGTTTACTGGTTTTTAAATTATTGGAATTTTCATTTCTTTCAGTAACATCAGAAGTTTTAGAAGTATTGAACTGAATGATATGTAAATAATTTGAATGTGGATCTGATACTTCTTCATATTTAGACATTTTTGGAGAAGAACAATGTATTTCAAGGAATGGCAGCTTTGTCGTAACCTCTCTGTTGTAGAGATAGTGAAGTTCTGTTCATTTGATTGTTTCTGTATTTCTTGAATGCACTTCCGAATAGAAAATAATATAGTGAAGGAATCATGTGGGATTGAGAATTTCTTGTTATAAAAACCTTCCTAATTATTTTCTTAATTGTCACATGAAGTCAAGGAATAGCCCAGTACTTAACAAATGTTCAGCTTTCTCAATTTTATTACAAGAGCACAACAAGTTACAACGCGTTGAAGTTTAAAATGCTTTTAAAATTATTAACTGCGACTTAAATGTTTGAAGTTTCGTGGCGTAGTATGAACTTTGAAATTGCTAGTTTTTCTTTCGTATTGTGCATGCCATTTTTGTTCATCGATGGATGACATCACTGAAGAAAGTTGTGTAACAATAACATGACAAAAAAGCACATTGAGATTTGTTTACATTAATTTCCATAGAAACTACGAAAACAAGTGTGTCCCGTCCGCGGAGGTTTGTTGCCTTGCTGCGTCACGAGCATCCATTTCTACACATTAATCTCTTGTAGGTGTATGACTGATATGTTTTTTCTACTTACATTTAAATAATTGAAAAGTAATGAGACATATAATAGTAACAAAAAGGTTTCCAGCATTTTGAGAAAACCTTTTAGAAGTCCTTCAAGTTTCTCGAAAGACGTGTGTTCACAGCCGTTCATAATTCACCGTGAATCAGCTCTGACAGTTTTTCAGGCATATGTTGAATTGCTCCGTGAGATGTATAAGTGCGCCTTCTACTGCGATTAATATTGTAAAATTATATTCAATTATTTTATATGGCTATTTAAGTGCAGTGCAAACGTTAAACTCGCTTAATATTTTTTTTAAAATAAAAAAATTAACTCTTGCGTTACTGTGGTTAATTCGGTAGATATTCATTCCTTCATATACCGACTAATAAAGTTTAAAAAGTTAACCCCTGCCAGTCATTAAGATACGAATTATTCATGGAGTTTTATGGCTGAGGCTTTATCCGTTTCGTTTTATTTTTCATTTGATAGCTGTTTCGTTTCTCTGAGATTTGGAAATTCATTAGTTCGTTTTAAAATGATTTTTATTCATGGAATAGTGACAATAAATGCATCCTACTTGGAAAGTCCCGTATAAAACTGTAAGCGATCATATAGCAAATACAATTATTCCCGTAGTAAGATTTACTAAACAAAATTTAGTTTCAGACAATTCAGAATCGTAAATGAATTAACAAAGAGAATTGTCAGTGATACTACACTTGTTTCGTAGATGAAATCATTCGGTGAGATCTACGTTTCGTGTTGTCGCACCTTCTAAACACTGCTTAGCAAGCGCACATTCTCGGCAATCTAACCAATTCGAATAGTTATAGAGCTCGTGTGAACTGTGAGAAATCAACGCGGTATATAGTACTGTACGCTTTATAAATGGCGTGTTTGGTATTTTATTGATTTTAAACAATTATGTTGTATTCTAAACTATTGGTATAGAAGTACAATCGGTAGCCAAATGTCGGCAGCCAGCATTCGTATTTATTCTGCTTGGCTAGGGTCTGTCAGGTAAACGAGGTTAAGGAAGCACGAGTCCACAGGTCGGATAGATGACCTCTTGGGAACCCCAGTTGCTACTTGGGTGAAGGGATAGAAATAAAATCTTCCCTTTGACTTTTCTGCTTAATAGGGCTTACTGAGTTACGTTTAGTACTTTCTGTAAAGGAACTATTCATTTAGTTCTTTTCACTGCAATGTGTTTAGAAAATATTACTAGATGCATTAGTCAACGCACCTATTAGTTTAGTTGTCTCCACTAAATGCCATTCGTCAAGAGTAATGAAATGTTTAGTGAAAATTACTATATGTCCATTAGTGTGTTTAACTAAACAGCAGTTTCTTGGACGCGACTAAACACTTTGTTCTTCTACAATATTCTATACAAATTAGTTGATTAATTGTATGGAATAAACATTTCTCTCCGTGTATAATTTTTAAATTAGAAAGTGACACTTTGTACATGTTTCTTTCGCTCACTTTCATTTTCACCATGTTCCATATTAACTCTATAGATTTTCATATCTGGATGATATGGAGGTAACTGCTGAGGAAAGAAAGCTTGTGATTGTGAATCCAGATTTCATGTAGGTAAACGACAGGCCTCTTTTCATGCATCTCGTTTACTGAGGGTGCGATGGCTTTCACAAAGTCTTCTTGCGTTTTTGCACTTTTTAAATACAAACTCTAAAGATTTCACAATATTTCTGAACGTTTCTTTAGTTCCAGTACATTTTAATTCTTGCCAAGAAAAATGTACAATTTTCTTAAAGTTGGAATTTATTTTTTTACTTCGTAATTCTCTTAAAATCTTAGTCTAACAATGCACTTGTCCATTTCATCCTTAACAATTTTTCTTTTTGGTTTCACTTTTAATCGTTTCGGCGATGTTATCATATCCCATGCCTTTCAGCTTCACAACCTTCTTTTTGAATTTCGCGTGTCATGTTTTCATATAACTTTAAGCTTACTACTGCACGTTTGATTGTACTTCCTAGAGGTATTTTTGGTCTGTCTTTTTCACCATCATAAAATTTAATAACATATTCAAGGCGTCTTGCCTGCCCACGAAGTGTCCCACCTCGACGAGAACTGATATTTCCCAAAGCCAAACCGATAAACAGCACGCTTCACGCTCCTTGCTCCTTGCGAAACTGTCTGTATAGGTCCGTGTTTACACTGTTAGTTCCACGACGCACCACAATCGCCTCCTTCATTCTTCGCTTGGTCGAGATACAAATAAATTGATTTGGATGGGAAATTTAAATAATAAATGAAGTTATCAGACGTGGGGTCATCGGAGCATGATTTTAACGTACGAAAATAAATCGCTAATATTTTTCAGTTGACCCCGCGAAGTTTATTTTAATCCATTCTTCGTTTTTAAAACCAAAAAATTGACGAACTGAGTGAAGAATATTAAAAAATAAATAATGTAAGTAATGAAGTACAGTATTATAAGCCTGAGAAGAATATATGATGTAAGACCTTGAGTAAGAAAAGAAATGAAATACCAGGAAATGGTTGCCTCACACCATGAAAGTCGAATGAAAAAGACACACCCTATGACAATACAGTAGATTTCACAAGAAGAACAAAGAATGTGCAAGGAATAATGCGAACTCGGCTGAGAAGAAACTAAAATGATATTAGTAATTAAAAATTTGAAAATTAACATTTGGAAGAGCTTGTGTATTCGTACTATGTATATGAAGACGCATTCTCATCAGTTTCATGTACATGGAAATAAAGTTTTGAAATTTTGTATAGAAATATGCTTAGGTATGCTGTAACCTACATTACAATTTCCAATTGTGATGTGTGTATGTATTAAGTTTTCTGCTAACGTTGAAAAACACGTACGAGGAAAAGTAAAAAAATATGAAAATCAAACTTTAAAAATAATACTAAGTTACGTATTCAATATATTGCGAGCGAAATATTTGTGAAATGTACGATCATGCTCTTTTCAGAAAATATAAAACGATGAATGCATTTTTTATTTTCTCTCCGAGATAGTTATTCGCCTTGCAATATCTTTGCCTTTAAGGCTCATTCACACGAAAACTTTAACAAAACTTAATACGAAATGGGAGCGATGTTAAATGAAACCATTCAAATTTGTGAACGTACACGTGAACATAAACTTAACCGTGTAAGTTTGCAAACTCCAAGGTTTCTTGTACTTGATAACGTGATTCAGGAAATACACACCACTTTTTTACAACAATATTCAACAAACCTCTAGCGTTTCGTTTGAAGTCGATGCAAGTTGTGAGATAATAAATTACTCCTCATTATCCTTGAAACGCTTCATAGACCGTGACATCGTGACCGAGGCAAAAGAAATCATTGTCTTATGAGATTGATCACGTCGTATACTTTTTGTCATTCGATTGCACACATAATTTTAAAGCCGAGTCTATATAATAATATAGATATCACAGTGCGAGAGCGTTATTTATCGTACCCATAGGTTATTATATCGATAAGCGGCTGCATTCACATTTACCTTCTCGGTAACTGTGCATGGCACGACCATGAGAACAATAAAATAACATGTTTATGATGGCATGTCTATGTCAAGATTTTCATTATGAATGAGCCTATGTGGCGATGCGCTAATGAACGCGGCGCGGTGCTTACTGCAGTCGTAGTGCGCGGGGCAGCAGGCATGCTGCTTGTATCGCGGCGTGCAGCCTGCCAGGGGCAGCAGGCACCGGGGCCTCACGCAGCGCTGGCGGCCGCGGATGCAGTAGCAGTACTCGCAAAGGCTGGAGCTGGCCATGGCCGAGCCCTCGGCGTACACCGTCCCGTTGGCCGCGCATCCTGTTGCACAACGTTTAAAAGCGAATGATGAGCTCGCCGTCCTCTTTGATTTCGGTGTGTTGTGTAGACGAAGACATGCTTGGAAGTTCGGTTCAGAACAGTGATTTAATTGAACCGGACCTCGTCAGACCGCCCTTCCAGATTTTTGCTCTTACGTCTCTCGTGTGCTTTTTTAACCCGCTGACATAATATGTGGCGGTAGTAACTCAGTAACTTCATAGCTGAAACTCTTTACGACTCTAAAACTAACTCTCTGTAATATAAGTCTCTTTTCTGTAACTTTTACGATATGGACAAACACTCTGAAGTGAATTCCGCTGGTCAATAGCTTTGATTTTTAATGCGTATTTTGTAACATGACCAGCGACTTTCGGTCTGACCTCATATAATCGTCTAATGTTTTATATGTCTAATAATAATTAGTAAGCTGAATTCCGGCCAGTATTTATCCCGGCAAATCGCTGGTTTAGAGAAATTATTCTGGGCCCTTTTCTCTACTGAGGTTTCGCGAGGGCACTTGGCAATGCAATGTATAAAGTGATGTTAATCTGACTATGTTAATCTGAATAAAGACGCAAATTTGAAAAGTACTTAGAGGTGGAGACATTCTTTTTGACATGCTGTTTTTCTCGCAACATAACGTAAAGAAACGACATCAAGAGTTTTTAGTTAATTGAAAATTAAGTAGATATTTACATTTGTTAATACGTGTAAAACATCTTTAGTATGCGACTGGTATGTCTATATATTTAGATATGATTAGTATTTATTTGCATCTTTTACCCGGGAATTTACAGAATTTACTTGTCACTCAATGTTAATAGACATTGAATCTTAAAATGAAGACTCCCTTGTAAACTAATTGCAGAATTACTTGGTATAAATATTCAAATAAAAATGAATTAAAAAAATAAATATTAAAAATCTCATTTAAAATTTAAACTTTGCCACATAGGTGTTGTTTTAAAAAAGTGACGGTGTTCACGGCAAGTATTCGAGTTTTGAGTTTTTTCATTCAATAGGGTTACTATTAGTGGGCAAAATGTAGAAATTATGTTAAAGAAAAAAATGTTATACTGATTCCATGACTCGGTAACTTAAATGATGGTAAGATTATTACACTAATTACAGGAGATTAGGATTAATACACTAGTTTATTGTGAAGATTTATGACTACAACACGATGGCAATTTTCATGATGAAGAGTTCTGAAGTCAGATTTACGTATGTATAATAGAAAAACAGAAGTATAAAGCATAATACAGGGCTTCGAAAATTATACCATCAGAATACAGGCATTATTAGTACAAGAAAAGTTGAAATTACAAGATTCTCCAAATATTACTAGCATTTTACCAATGCACGAATTAACGAGTGAAAGTGTAACAGTAAAAATAATAAGTACATAACAATAGACTTCTAACTAGGAAGCAATGAACTTGATTAGGAACACACGTGACTGCAATCCTTTCAATCATCAATGGGAGCTGCCCGCAAGAGGCAAGCAAGTTTGCATCCCTTCTTACTTAGATGTCGCAGTGGTTGCCTATTGCATTTTGTCTCAGGAACTGGGAGCTGATATCAATCATGTTTCGTTGCGTAATTGTAATACACAAAAACTTTTGGTTAATTCATGTAGCTATTTTGGGGCAGTAATGACTTCTTATTTGGGGCCTGTGTATTTTCTGTGCTAGATCTACGAGTATGGTTTGTGAAATGGTGCATATTTTATTACTTTCTATATTGAAATACTTTGAGGCTGAATTTATTTACGAACTGTAGCATAGAACATTAGCCAGTACTCATACAAAATACTACATTTAACTGCATTTAGTTAAAAATAATTATTTGAATTATGCCGATTTCATTTGTGATATTGGAAACGTCCTAATAAGACCTGATGAAATTATTCACAATTTAAATCATAATTCCGGACAAACATGTTTATGAGCTTACTTCTTCAACATAAACTGATTTCTCTGGGAAGAATGATTAATATATTTTGAAAAGACTATTCCTCTCGTGAAATTAATACCAATAGTGTTGAACTATACATGTAAAAATACCCAACCAGGGCTGTGTATCTAACAAAATATCGCTTTTCCTACCCTATTTTTCTTACCATTCCTTCCTACTGGCCAATAATAAGCTGTGACTTATTTATAATTCACACTTAAGAGGCGGTATGTATCGATCGCTGTGTTTATGTGCAATAAACCGCGTATGTACTATAACATAATCTATTAGATTTTTAACATGATTTCAGTTATTTTTAATGGGCCTATTAAATACACTCGTGCATTGAAAATTCTTATATAAAATCCCTCCTCGCTTTGCGAGTCCGTGATTTATCGAATTTCCAAAGCATTTGTGATATCACCTATTATAATTGTCAATCATATTCTTATAATGGGAATAATTAAACAGAGTTATCCATTCTTTTCTCTCAACGTCTCACTAGTAGGATATATCAGACCTGGAACGAAATAAATTTTGAAATAGTAATTGTGACGCGATTGTGCTATAACACGGGGTTGTAATTTATTGAAAAGTCCTCAAGCTGTACATTTCACAACAGATGCCAGTCGTTAAAGTTATTATTGTATTCATGTTAAATTATGATGCAAAAAATTACAATACTTTTTGACGGAGCTCTTTCGAGATTTTGTTAAACGGGTTGTCTAAACAAAGGCGGTGGGTGCAGTACAATTGTTAGTCTTTTGTAAAGTTAATCATGTCACAAAATGAACATCAGTTCTATTATAACGAAGTATTATCAAAACATTGACATTTTTAACATGCTTAATTTTGTCACTTTATGTATTGAAAATAGTCTAATTGTGGCTAATATTTTTTAATCACTGAAAAAACCGGGTTAGAGATTTGATATCGAAGTAATTTCTTTGCCTCTATGAACATTTTGATTTGAAGATGGTTGTAATATAACCCCGAATTATTGAGGAACGAATATTCACCTTGACCAATGTCTCCTTCCGGGATTTCTGGCTGTTCTTCACGGTGGGCCGTGGAGTTGTCGCCAATATCTCCTTCTGAAAACGAAATTGAAGACGATATTTCATTGAAGTACGTCGGTGTTGTGAATAATGCCAACGTGTGCTTACGATAAATTTACATTTTTTAAATGAAAAGTATTGCTCTTTTTATTTTCAGAAAAGTTTCCACTGTTTACAATATTCATTATAAACACTTTTCAATGTTCACGAACGCAGTTGTTAAATTATCTAATATATAATTGGTCAAGCATTGGTCGAAGTGTAATGTTCTTCCATTTCTATTTGGAAGGTCACAAGAGGTCGGAACTTTATAATAAAATTGATAAACAGTATTAACAGTAATAATGTGCGAAAAGCATTTCCCAATCTCAGTTAATTATCTTAGCATTGGCATGCAATGAGAATAATATATTGAGAAAACATTGCAATACATTCCTTATGTATTGCAATGTTAGTGTTAATTATTCTATAAGATTAATTGGAGTAAATATAAGCAAGAGTAATGATAAACGCTCAAAATATACCCTTGACAAAAATTCTAGCGGCCAGCTGCGCTGTAATCTATAGTTGTCCGTGATTTCTCTTGAAAAATTAAAAAAAAAGTGTGATAAAAGCATATGTTTTAATTACTTGATTATACAATTTGTCTATCACAATTTAGTTGTTATGTACGAAATTGTTATAGGGTGACTGCACCAATAAATGACCGGAACACGTCAGTAACCAATATACACTAAAAATGTTTAAAATAAGCGCCCTGTGTCTTCAACCAATCAACGTGATAAGATTTGTCAAGACCAAGGTATATTCGCCTCAAGTTTGTCAGAACACTCATTAGAAAACAATTTATCTCTATCAATAGAAAACAATAACTCACAGAAAATGAACGTAGATAATACCGTTTACTGCAGCACTTCAAGGGCCAGAAATAATATAATTACTGAGGAACCTGCAAGTACTTCTTTTCAAGGAGTTAGAGCAAGTAAATCACAAATTCTCAAAGATGTTTGGAGTAATAATTTTCACTGGCCACAATATGAGAATGACGAAGTAACCCCAAAGTAGGCCAACATTTAAAAGTCAAGGCGGAGCGTAGAGGAGCCGAGATTTTCAATTTGTACGAGGCAGTAATAAAACTAACATTTTGTGATATGTTAAGCAATTTATCGGTCACCTTACCACCATTTGTAACCTTACTGCAAGGAAAACAAATTAATTCTGTTGCTGTGGAACGTTACTACGATATGGTGGGTTGTTTCTTGCGTAATATTTATTTAAACAAGAGTGATTTGAGAAAAGAGGATGCAAATTATTCTCCTGAATATAAAGATACTTGAAGAAATGACTTTCGATGAGCAACTAAGTCCAATGGCGGCACCTTCAGATCGTCAGTAAATATGATTACCGGAGAAGAGGTTTCTTTTTGGTAGAATGTCAGAAAAATGAGGTTAATTTACCTAATAAACATTTTTAATTGCATTGTTAATATTACAATCAACAATAATGAATATCATAATTAATGAGTTACTTTTATTCTGAATTGTTTGAAACTGATTTGTACAAAACATCGCCAGTTTTTTAATAAACATTTGCTTTGCGACGGATGAATGGATTGTTGTTTATTTACGATCCTAAGGATGTTAAAACCCATTGCTAAGGATTTTAAAACCAATTGATAAGGATGTTAAAACCCATAAATAAGGATGTTAAATATCTTAACATACAGGTAGTGCACCCTACAGGTAAGAACAAACCTGTAGGGGTGAATGTTAACAGGGGTTAAACACGTATGAGACCGATAAATTTTTTTGGCGTCTCCCTACAACTGCAATATTGATGGTATTTTTCTTCTGAATGAAATATATTTTTCAAAACTAGATCTTTGAATGAGACCATGTATAATTTGTTTCAAGGTAGTAGTAGTTTTCGCGCAATTTTGGATTCAATAAAGGCACTTAAAAACAAGATTTTTCTCAAAAAGTCTCCAATTTTTTCCTTTTCTCTTTTTCTATTGATAGCGCTAAATGCACTGAATAATTTGACATCAACGCCATCTTCATTACGTTTTTTGTAAAAAATTAATTTTTTATCAATCCTCATGTCGCTAACGTGCGTTATATTTATGGCCATTTTTATGCATTATTGCATTTCTGAGTACTTCAAATGATTGTCAGTGCCTTTAATGCTTTGTAAGTGCTTTAAATGATTTCACATTGAAGTTCTCAAAAACAAATGTTTTTTGGGAAAATGAGCTCAAAATTGTGCATTTCTAGAAACACTCAAACATCATTTTCTCAAAAAAAGTTCTAAATTCTACGATGAAAATTTGCTTATAGAACCAAATTTTACACTTCTTTAATATTATTTAAGTCATATATAAGTCAACACGTAAAAGCTAGCCTAGGCTAAAGAGATTAGGAACGAACTGTGCAAAAAAGTCTGTGCCATTCTGTAGCATCAATAGTTTTAATTTCAGTTCAATTGTTGTTCTAGCGTTAAAAGTTTTTGATAGAAATAGTTTCTTGTCGTGAATTTGAAAAGTATTTTAGAATTAAAAGCGCTTTTGAGTCGTTAGTCGTAAATGAATTCATGTTTTGCATAAATATCAGTTGTGAAGAATGTAATGATAAAATGTCAATGATTTCAAGGACTTTCTGGTGTTTTTAGGGTAGCAATCGGAATCATATTAAACTTGGTCTCAAACTTCAGTTTGAGAGCATTATACTTCTTGTTAATGTGGGTTCCTGTGTGTGTGTACTTGAGAAACGACTCTTTTGTAGCAAGTGAATTTAGACAGTAAAAACTAACACTCTTGAGGCGATTAAATATTAATTTTAAAAATATGTTTCAGCAATACTGATTACTCTTTTATATGCAAAGTCTTCCAATCACAAAAAGTATTACTAATTTGTTGGCAGCAAAATGCAACATCATGGGAAGATCCGTTCTTTAGTCGGTTGAATTGTTTTGTTCATAATGTAAAAAAAAATCTTGAATTAACTGTGAAAGATGACTCGGAATCCTCCTTGAATTTGTAATTATGTGTTTAGTGTCTCTGTGGCGCTGATGAGTTAATGAAGTATTTAAATTATTGCCGCATTCGGTTTGTAATTTGTTAGAAAATTAGTTTCCATGTGAACTGATATAAATTAAAAACGGGTGAATGTTGATGCAATAAATTTCTCGATATTGCAGAGCATGACACGACCTTTTAAATCAATGATCCGTTAGATTGTTATAAAGGATTTTTCGGAGAGTATCTGAGTCCTCTTTTTCTCCTTTGATGTCCCTTGTACTTAAATTAACTTATTGAGTAGAAAAAAACTTAAGATCCACTTTAAAAGGTCATACATCATAGAAGGAGTGTAATATATAATTTTAGATACAAAATACTTTTATCTTTCAGCAGATGCATATCTGTTCAATTACGAAGATATTTAATTAAAGGTAATAGAGACAAATGTGAAAAAAGAATGAATAGCTTTAAAAAGCATAAATTTTAATTTGAAAGCCTGACTGTTGAGATTATCTTCAGAATTTTTTGTTATATATACTTGCAAACATACATTGCGAATCTAACTTTTAAACGTAAATTATGCAATAAGCATCAGAATACACTATTTGGAGGCACTTAATTTTTCTTTTTCCATGGAACATTAAGCTATGTAGAACAGCTATTTAGGATGTTCACGTGTTCTCTTTTGTCCCAAAAGCGATAGAGTAATTATCTTCGCAGCTATGAACAGTAAAATATTAAACTGTATTCTATATATTTGGAAATAATGGTATAGAATACTAAAAGAGAATTTCCAACGGATACAAGTATAATTATAAAAATATGCGTTATGATAACTTTAACGAAATACTCAACAAAGAGAAAAAAGATAATAAAATATCAAGAGACTTGAATGCTGGAAGGGGTAAAAAAGGAGAAGAATGGCGTGAGGGTCTGCGAAATTTTTCTCTCTTTTGTTTCCATACAGTTTGAACACTTGAAAATAATTTTTATTACAAATTTAGTGGATTAAATGGGTAGGATATACATTTTTCAGAGTTCTCAAAAATTTTATGAACTAGTATTAATGTGTTAAAAGGATTGTTCGTTTATTTTTTGTCCCTTACGAAGTGCTGAGGTGCTGAATATACACTTGCTCGTCATTTCAAATTCATACAATTCAATTTATTCATTCCAAGACAGTAAACTTAAGTACATTTTCTACTGCCATTGTATAATTCTGTGGTTTTATGGCTGCAACCCGTTGCATAATGATACTCATTACGATGCAGATTTCGTTATGATACAGGTTCTTCACCAAGCACTGAGAAGTTTACAAAGAAAGTATTGACACTTTCTTATCATTGATAATCGTTATAGTAAATGTTTCGTTCGATTATGCGCATTAACGTTGCATTTAATCTTATTTATGCTTGTTAGTTTTAACACATTCCAAGTCCCTATAAAAACATTAAAATTATCCACAACGACTATATAATAATATTTTCATTGTAATATTCTCAAAAATCAAAATACACGTTCTGATACGTATGTACCGGTGAGTTTATAAATTCGCACGTACCGGTGTATTTCTAAATTGTTTGACCGTTCTAGCAACTCCAAACCACAAACTGGGCAGTTTCGGTGAGTTCCATAAAAATATTAGCCATGAAAGTTGTAAACGTCACACATGTGGTTCACGGACTATCAAAACCACCGAGTGTTACGTTTTGTGAGTTACATTCGCCAGCTGAGTTAACCTCTTTAATTATTTGTAATTTTTACGTCGAATATTATTTAAAATAAATTGGATCGTAATTTCGCTTTGATACTACTTGATTAGGGCAGTGGTAGTGGTAGAGAGACAATTTGACTTATGTTAAGATGAGCACGGAAGTCATTTCGTGTTATATTGCTGCAGTGTGGTTGTCTTTAAAACCCGCCAATTCTTTAGTTTAAAATGACCAATGAATCAGGTTCAGTAGACACTTCCAGAAAAAAAAGAAAAAGCGAAAATGGTGACCTCAGAATTATTGCCC